CATCCTGAGAAGGGAGGACAGCGGCCTGAGCCAAGTACTTCCCTTGCGTCCGGGGAGCTCGACCCTGCAACTCTGCGACCCACCGTGGACTTGGGAAGCCACCACTGCCAGTCAATCCACTTCTGTTTGAGGGTTTTGTTATAGCAGCCCTGGCACACGAACACAGTATTTTACTTAGTATTTTGGGAAATAATCATGATTTGTAAGACCGTAAGTTGAAGCAGAACGTCTTTTTTAAAAAAAGCCGGCTGATAGTGCAGTGAAGTCTTTAAGAATTCACCTTTCTTGGCCCCTTTGATGAGATAATTTGGTTCAAGAAAATAAATTCTGTCTTTATAGCAACGCAGGAGTCCTGGTTTATATCCACAGAACCTCGAGTGCTATTCCAGCACACATCTAAATGAAAGGGATTAACAATAACATTCCAGCTCTGCCAGAAAGGAATGAATCAGGAGCTAGGAAAACGTTCCTTCTCGTGGCGTTCTCACGGGCAGACCTGATCCAGCCCATGAAAGCCGAGAAAGCTTATCTTGAAGGCTGCTGCTTCAGCAGTCTGGTCTGGGGGTGTCCACTTCTAACACATTAAGTATTTTTAAGTCATATCTAAATAGGCCTATTAAATGTAATTAGCTTTTCTTGTGATGCCATCAGGGGAAATTCCAGGATTTGCTTAGACACATAGAACAGCTTAGAAGAAGCAACAGGGACCCTTACACTGGCTATGACTCTGATTTTGTCATCTTTCTACTTGAGTAACATAATAGCTCATTTTGAAAAGCTTTCATTGGAAATGATTTCAAAGTTACCAAGAAGTTGCAGGGATAGTTCAGTGAGCATCCACGTACCCTTTCCTCAGAGCCACCTGTGAACACTCTGCTCTGTTCGCTTTTTATTTGCTCCCTTTCTGTCCATGCACATAGCCCAGTAGCGTCTTTCTGCTCAATGCTCAGTCACCACCTATTTACTGAGTCCAGGCTCTGTGGACAGCACTGCAGGGGACAGGGAATGACAGAGCTCCACTGGCGAGGGCGGACCAGGACCAGGGTCCCCTTGGGAGGGTCTCTACCTCGGTCCCCTTTTACAGAGGAGAATGCTAAGGCATGAGGGGCTCAGTCAGGACCCACGGGCTCTGAGCCCGCTCTGCAAACTCACACCGCCTGTCACAAGGCGCCAGGTGGGAGGGTGAACGCAGGTTTCCACAGCCAGACAAACCTGCCTACCTCGCCTCTTGGCAGGTGGGTGCTAAGGAAGCACGCTATTTTTTAAAAAGGACCACAACCACTCAGGCAGACTGTGTAGCCCGAGGCTGGGTGCTCACTGCTCTGGAAGTTCCTGCCTGACTCAACAGTGTTCATAAAAGCAAATCAAGAGGAAATTATATGGGAAAAACCCTCCTGGCCTCTCTGATGCCCATAGGCCTTCTCAGTGGCCTGGCCGCGCCTGCAAAACTGGGCATTGAGATTCTGTGAGGGAGTCGCCCGGGGGACAGAGTCCTGCTCTGAGGCGCCCACAGCCTGGAGCTCCCCGGTGTGAATGGGGTAGCTGGGGAGGGGAGCCAGGGCCCTTATGGTGAAGGGGAGGCTGGGGAGGGGAGCCGGGGCCCTTATGGTGAAGGGGAGGCTGGGGAGGGGAGCCGGGGCCCTTATGGTGAAGGGGAGCCTGGCAGTCCCAGGCATTTCGCTGCCATGAGTCACTCAGAAAACAAAGAACAATGTGATTTGTAGGTGGTTATGGATAGCTCCAGGCATCCAATCCTTCCAGTTTATAAAGATACAAATCTTTATTATTCATGGTTAAGATGAAAAAGTACTGCCCTGAAGTTAGGAAATTCAAACAGATTATTTCCTCAGATGGCGGCACACAAAGGCGGGTCTGTCCCCAAGGCCGGCCTGCTCCAGCGCCAGCGCATTCCCCTCTCCCACCAAACCCAGACACACTCACTGTGGAAACTTGAGTTCCAGCGGCACAGACACACGGGGAGCCAGGCGGGGCGCCCGGGGTGCTGCTGGCGCAGGCTTCTGGGGCGGGCACGTGTGCCAGGGCCTCTTAAAGCGGCAGGCCCGGGAGAGCGTGTGCTCCCGTGGAACCAAATTAAGCTTAGAGGTTGCCCCGCTGCGGAAAACGTCCCACCCCCTAACCAAGAACAGTCAGAACACCAAAGGCCCGCGATCGCGGCCTGCAAGGTCATCGGGAGCTAAGTGACCACAGGCTGTGATGCGACAGGGACTCGCAATGACCCGTGCTGTGTACATGAAAGACTCCCGGCCATATCATAAATGGAAGAAGTTCCTTCTAGCCATAAGCATTATTACGGACACAAGCACGGTAAGCGTTCACAGGAGAGGAGAGAGAGCGTCCCTAAACGCGCTGTCACGGGACTTGAGAGCTAAGAACCTCTGCTTGTCCTGAGCTCAGCGGGAACGGCTTGGATGTTGTGTCATTAGACACAGCACTGGCTTTGAGCCTGAGATATAGTCTTATTTTTAAAACTTATATCCATTCCTTTTTTATTACAAATATGTTTTAAAAATTAGAAATGTATATTGAGTTTTACCAAATGCAGTCGCAGAGGAAATCAAATGCTAGCCCGCCTCCGTTTTTGGTGAAGCTTATTAATGTATTTTCTAACATTAAAAGATGTCTGTTCCTGATTTAAAACTCACGATCATGGTGTATTATTCTTTTAATCGGACGCTGAATTCTATTTGCCAATGTCGAATGTAGATTTTTTTGGTACTAAAATCAGTCAGACTGGCATGTATGAGTAGTTGCTTTGTCTTTTGAAATTTGGGGTATCTTTGCCCAATTTGGGTTATCAATAATGGCTTTATTTCATAAAAACACATTTGGAAGCATATTCTCTCTCTCCGCTCTGGAAGCGTTTGAGAGCGTGTTGAACGCACCTGCTTCCTGATAGGTGAGTGTATTTCACCTGTGAGAGCGTCTGGGCGAGGGGCCACTGGAGGGTTGGATCTTCCCAAGCGGCTCAAGGATTCCACCTGCGTGATGGGGCACACGAGCCGCGAAAGCTGCTCTCTCTTTCCAGGTGTTTCATAACTAATTTCATCTTCTTAAGGTTATTTTCCCTTTCTCATTTTTATTGTGTATGTGATTTTTTACTCACTTTCCCCGTCATATTTACCTATGTATTAACGAATGATTTATCAATTTAATTGCTTGTTAAAAAAGTCATCTCTTGGGTTAATTTATTTTTGCTATTGATTTAATTAATTAGCCTTTCATCTTTGCAACCCCCTTCTCTCTGCTCTTAGTCTGCGTGCACGTGCGAGTGCGTGTGTGTGTGCACGTATTTTTCCCGCCTACTTGTGATGAGCACGTACTTAGTTTACTGTCATGTGTTGTTGCCCCCATAACGGGTGCCACAGATGTCCCTCTAAGCACTAATTTAGCAGCAACACTGTCCTTTGTTTCAATCCTATAATCCAGAAATAACAATATTAACCTTATGTTATTAATATAAGTGCATTCAATTATCTTTCTTCTGAAATATTTCATTAATTTTTTTCTTTTCCATCATGTCAGGAAGGTGGTAAGTAGTTTCCTATCTTTCGTCTTTACATATATTCTTTTTCTTCTAATTTTTATTATGCAATTGGTCATTATATTTTCTATTCTATAAAAAACTATGTTTTTCCTACCATTTGCCCAATTTTCTACTGGTATGCACTTTTGAACAGTTTTTAATAATTTATATAATATTAAATAACTTCTAAATAATTTAAATAATTTCTAATCACTTGGCAGTGACTTGATTTTGGGGGGTAGGAAGCTAGAATTGGTTCTGGTTTTAATAGAGTTGAATTCATTTCCTTCCTGGGATACAATTTCTTTTTAAATATGTAGACCTGTGTCTTTATTTCAGGAACATTTTCTTAGATTATGTCTTTAAATATTTTTCCTGTTCACATTTTCTGGTCTCTCTGAGGGCGGAGGGAGGCACAAATCGTATCTTTCTTTGTCTCACGCATACTCCTTTTTTCTGACTTCCACGTGTATCGTCTTCCCTAAAATCAATTTTAACTCTGCTTGTCTCATTTTGCTGAGTTTCTTGAGCTTGTTATCCACAATTTTCATTCTCTTTTCTGTGAACCTATTACTGTTGGTTTGTTTTTTTGGTATCACCTTATTTCTATCATTTTCCCCTTTTCTCCTCCATTTTTGTCCTCACCTCAATTAGCCGTTTTATTTCATCTGGGCTTTGCACTCCTATTTCAAAGAGGGCACCTTTTCACGAGTTTCCTTTTGTGTGGAGAGCGTCCGGTTGCAACTTGACCCTCCCGCGACCGTCTTCGGAGGTCTGACCTTCGTGGCCTTCTCTCGTGGGCCTTTGTAATGACCCTTTCCCGCTGGCACGTGTGTGCGGATCCAGCCGGGACCTGCGTTCACCCTGCTCACCTCCGCATGGGGGAGCCCTTCCCTGGACGTTGTTACAAGGGAGCGGTACTAGTGTGCGTGTGAGCGGCAGGCACCTCCGGTCCCATCTTCGCCACCCGGACGTGTAGCCACAGCTGCTCTGGGCTGCAGGGCACCTCTCTGGACTCAGGAACGCGCGGCCGGAATGCGCTTGGCACTGGCGCCCAGCGCCTCCTCCTTTTCAGGGTGGCTCTAGGTCTGTGAGCCACCAAGAGCGCCCCCTCCGGCTGCCACATCAACAGCTTCTTACAAAGATGGCTTTCCTCAGGCCTGCGTTTCCAAACTCTGTGGTGTTGGGGTTCAGGGAGATTCCTTCAGCTCTTTATTGCTGTGTTATATTTTCTTCCAAGCCAGGGGTGTTTGGTCGGCCCTCTGCGTAAGCTGTCCAAGTTGGAGAGCTCCCTGTGCCCTGGGAGGGGCGGTGTCCTCTGTCCCTCTGGCCTCATCTTCATCGTGCGTGTCTGCCATTCCGGGAATTCCTTGTCACGTTCAGGGTCAGAGATGGTGCCCGGGGGGAACGGAGGGCCCGTTTCTGTTCCTCATCTCTTTGTTGATTCCGCTCATAATCAGGGGGAGGCAGCAGACCGATAGCTCTGCCGCCATTTACGCTGGAAGTCACACCACACGTTTCCCGGGCTGGGCAGTCCCCGGGTCCTGGCCAGAGCACAGCTCAGCGCCAGTGTCACCTGCCCTTACAGAACACTCGTGCAAATGGTCTGGGGTTTGGAACAGCGACTCTTTCAAACCTCTTTAGGTGTAAAACATAAAGAAAACTGATAAAAATACGTTTGGTTTGCTTACCCCATGGGCTTGGTCAGCAGAAGCCCCCACCAGGGAACACTCTTCTGCCCCGGCCTCCGCGGCACCACCGGGCTGTGGTTCTGGAAGACGGAGCTCTGGGTTGTCGGACAAACCATTAATCTTCAGCAGAAGTTCATCTAACAGGCCTGCAAATTCTTCCAGGTAGTAACTCTGAAGGGAAGAAAATCAGACTAGCAAATGCATTCAAGAACCCAATTTTTCTTCTTCCCTTATTATCTGAAGTATTTCCTGGTACGAACTTTAGGTGGCATGTGCTTTGTTAGACACACACTGAGCCTGGAGTCAGGGGACCGGGGTCCCGGGCCTGAATCTCCTATCTCAGTTCCCTCATCCACGATGTCACATACAGGTGTGCACATTTGTGCCTCACTCACCATGTTGTATATGGGTACGTACCTAAGTGTTATGGTGACACGAAGGCCTACTAAATGGACTGAAAGGTAATAATGCACGGGAAAGTACATGATAAATAGGAAGGTGCTATACAAACGCACAGCATCACGACTGCATATGGCTGGCTTCAGAACTGCCCTAGCTGATGCCTAAATATCAGCCACGGAAACAGCGGGGCATCCGTGTGCAGACACCTGCTTTGAATGGTTTGCATTCAGGTCTGGGTGACTACACTCAAGTGACAAAGTAAACGGACAGAGGAGGGTGTGTGTGTGTGTGTGTGTGTGTGGAGGGAAAATCATAAAATCCATCTTTTCGACCCTACAGGGTCATTCTAAGGAGAGAAGGATTTTAATGGAGGAGAATGTGCTTGGTAAACTGTAAAGCACTTTAGAATTTTAAGTGAAAATTCTATGTCTTTGCAATAATATTTAGCACAGAATCACAATCATGCTTTAATAACAGAGAAAATCTTAGAATGAAACCGTCGCCTTTAGCGTGCTCACTAATCCAAGACCCACAGCTCACGTGGTTTTCCGCCAGCTCTGCCTCCTCAGGCTTTGGCCTCTGGAGCCCCAGCAAGGTGCGGGCCTGCCCCCAGAGGTACGCAGTCACATCTTGAAGTGTCACAAGAAATCTGCTTTGAAAAGGTTTTCTTTTTCGGGCAAAAGTCATGAGGGAGCCTCTCAACTGGGGAAAAGAAAAAAAATAATGTCAAGCTGCATGTTATTAAGCAAAAAAAAATAGCTTTTTCAATTTGTTCGACTGTAAAATGGAGATTATATCTAATAATGCTGTTTTATTTCCTTTCAGTAAGATAGTAATTGCTTAGTAAAAAAAACAAACAGGAAAATCTCTCTCATTAATTGAATTAAATTGCAGCAAGATGAATTCAGCAATGGAAATTAATCTTATTAGAAAGGATGTTTTCAATGCCTAACAGTTGAGGACTAAGATTATGAACTAGACCTGCATTTCCGTATGTGAAATCTGCATCAGTTTTGCGCCCCCTGGTGAACCCCGCCAGGCTGTGCATGAGCCCTGCTGAGGGCACGTGCTTGTGCCCAGGAGATGAGAAAGGACCAGAGTCACAGTGGCTGCTGTGCATTCATCCATGTCACATAAATGAGCCAACGACTGTCTATGCAAATTGTCCGCAGGCTGTTTCTTTCTCTGCTGCAGACTGAGACCTGTTAGCTTAAAAGCCTGAGGGCACCAAATACATTTTTACACATTCAGTTATTTTTAAAATAGCTCAAACAAGCAAAGCTTTAGACATTTAGAGCTTGCTTTGCATGCTCTGCAAAACCCCACAGACAGCTGTCAGCACTGGTAAGACGGATGGGGCCCCACAGTCATAAGGCCCAAATGCTGCTGTTCTGGGGCGCTCTCTGACCCAGAGACTTCCTGCATACCACTGGGCAACATCCCCCCACAGGTAAGGCCTCCTCCAACCCCCTTTCCAAGGCTTCCCTCCCCCTTCTCCCCTTCTTGATGGTGGCCCCGCAGTGCAGCCTCTGGACAGTCTCAGGGTATGAGGGACGCCTCCCACATGCAAACCTGTCAAGATGTCACTTGCATACAGCTCCGTAAGGGGGTACACATTCTCTGCACTTCTATGGGAGTCGGGGGAGGGCAGCCAGTTGGGATCTGGGGTGGTGGAGCCAGGGAGGCTTCCAGGGTGATTACACGGAATGCTGTCTTCTAAGAATGGGTAGGACTTACGCCCCCTGGGGCACAGGGGCGGGGCCTGGAGGGACTGCAGGCTGCAAGGTGGAGGGAGCAGCGGAGGCAGGGCCCACGTGGGCGCCGTGCCTACTCGGGCGAAGAGCAGGGTCGCCAACCCTGAGTCTTCAACAGGAACACCTGGAGGGGTTTCTGAAAATTGGGGTGCTGGGCCCCACCCCCCTGAGAAAGGGTGCAGCAAGTCTGGGGAGGCCCTGTGGGGGAGCTGGCTGAGAACCTGCAGAGTGGGCTGGCAGAGCAGGGCACAGATGCAGCCAGCAGGGTGGCCATGTAACATACAGGACGCTGCTTACATCTTAACTTCAGGTAAACAACAAAAAATGCCTAAAAACAGGCATGTCTGAACTGCTGCAGGGACGTACTGAAACACTGTTAGTTGTTCACTGAAATTTAACTATTAAGTGGAGGTCCTGCCGTTTCATTTGCTAAATCTGTTAGCTGCTGAGTAGGGGTGGCAGGGGAGGTCAGGGGGCGTTCTCTCTCCATTGAAGTGTAAGCCAGAGGCTCTGTGTGCATGTGCATGTGTGTGTGTGTGCGCGCGTGTGCATGCATGTGTGTACATGTGTGTGCGCATGCGTGCATGTGCATGCACGTGTGTGCGTGCACGTGTGTGTACATGTGTGTGTTCGTGCATGTGTGTGTGTGTCTGTGTGCATGTGTGTGCGTGCGCGCATGACTGTGTGACATGACTAGATTTGCAAGTGGCGGGACAGCAGGAGGGTAGAAACAAGGAGGCCGACTCCTAACCCAGCCCGGACCTGAACAGCACGTCCAGGAAGGCTGGCTGATGGAGTGACGCTTCACAAGATGGAGGGATCAAGACACAGGGCAAGAGACAGACTGCAAAGCAGCGAGGAGAGGTTTTGAGAAATTAGGTTAGAGAGAGAAGGGTGTGGCTCAGTGCTCCGAGGGTGGGGGGGCTCCCTGGAGGAGGCAGCACCCTGGAGTGGTCAGCTGCTTTGCTGAAACTGTCAAGCCGACTGTTGAGGCCAGCACAGCAGAGCTGGGCCCCAGGGGGTCATGACCACGAGGTTTGGCCTGCAGGTGAAGCCGTGCTGATGGACCGCGGGGAGCTTCACCCGCGCACGGCATGTGGGGCCTGAGCAAACCTGACCGCAGTCGGGCACAGTGCACGTACCATCCCAAAGCACAGAGCGTTCAGTGCTGTCAGGAGGGCCACGTAGCACCACGCCGCGGCCCGCCGGCCGGGCTCGGGAAGGCCGAGGAACACGGCTCTTGGGCTGCTCCCTGGAAGATGACACAGCCGGCGGTGGAAGGCGGCTGCGAAGATGCCGGATGGCGGAGCCAGGGTGAGGAGCAGAGGGCCTCGCAGGTGGGCGTGGGCGGCCAGCACCAGGACGCCCGCCAGCTGCAGAGAGAAAGCCCGCCACGGCTGACTTTCTGGGCACTGGGTCGTGGGGGCCCGACTCACGGTGGGGTGTGGAGGGGGGGCTTCTAAATGCTTTAAAATAACGAAAAGTTTGGAGAAGCAGTTAAGAGGTTGTTGACCACGCCATCTGGGCTTAATAACTGAGCCCACCAGAGGGGGTGCTCAGTCAGTGCCCCCCTCGTCTGCCTCTGCTGTGAGTCCCCTCTGCAGTCCATGCCAGCACCCCTCCCCCCTGTCCTCTACACCCCCAGCTGCCGGAGGCCACGCTGGCTCCACCTGTCCCATCATCTCTGCTCCCGCGCTCGTGAGGGCTCAGAAAACAGGCCACTGAAGAAGGACAGGAAAGCGCCATCCTGGGTTTGCTTTAGTTCCGGTGAAGTCTTGTGTCTGGTTGCGCTAACAGGTGGGGAACTTGGGTGGCAACACGGACCCCAGACACACAGCTGCTGCCCCATCACCTAACAGGCTCCGGTGCCAGCAAGCGCTTTGTTGCCTGCACGAGGCCATCAGCCACTTGTCACAGGTGCACACAGGTCACCACCCGCTGTGGCCTCCGTTCCCCTGGCTCCTAGCCTGGGCCTCCCAAGACCTCCGCACAAACACACTGGAAGTCACTCCGGTGACTCCCCAGGAGGAATCGCACCCCATCAGCAGGACTAAGGGTGAGGAGCACATCTCAGAGTCTCTACGGGTCACACTGGGTGGCTCCCTGTCCCCAGGTGTCCCTATTTCTGAGCAGTCAGAATTCTGCCACTTAATGTGGACACAGTGTATTTACATTACCCTGGGCCTCTGTGGGATGCAGCACGTGGAGGGGGGACCCAGGTACCAAGGGGGTGGCCCAGGGCCAGCCTCCTCGCTGCTGTCAGACCCCACTCCTCCCCCTGAAGAAGAGCCGGCCCGTCTCGGTCACAATCACGAAGCAAGGGAAACACAGGAGGCCCCACGCACCATTCCTGGCGCTTAGTGCGCAGTAGGCACTGGAACCGCTTATGGCATCACGACAACTGGGAAAGTGCCCGGGAAAGTGCGCTGTGAGCACGTTCTCCACAGCCACCACTTCCCACAGAACCGCTGACGTCAGGGACAGCAGATCCCCGCAGCGCGCAGGAGACCGAGGCCGCTCCTGCTGGTTTATCGGGAAGCAAACGGGGTAAAGACAGACTCCTCACCCCGGGGGCGAAGACGCCGGACAGTGAGGGACGCGGCACCAAGGAGCAGGACGCCATCATGTTTCCAAGGCCAAGAAGATGAAGGCACTTCAGGGTCAGGAGGAAGGAGAGCGTCCCCTGCAGCCACCTCGTCCTCTGTGACGGAAGGACACAGCCATCAATGCGTCATTCCTGTTACAGGGAGCGCTCACACCTGGGTGCCGCGCACGAGGGGAGCGTGCGACAGGCATATACTGGACGTGCTGGGGTCCTACAGGTCACCGTCATCTGGGGGACGGAAGCGCCAGATGTCCGCAGAGGGGACAGGTAAGAACAAGGAGCAAGGACAAACGAGCTGTTTGTCAGAGGACAGGTCTGAGCCGGACGCGTCTCCATGGAGGCCAGGGCGGCTCGGGCTGCAGAGCCTCGGGGGGGCCTGGTTTCTGAGCTGAGAGAAGGCAGCCCCACACGGGACACAGAAGTGCTCTGCCTGCGGGTCCCTCCTCCTTCACGTGCAGGGGGTGAGCTCCGGGAACAACGCTGTTCAAGCAGCTTCTTAAAGTTGTTCAGACAACAACTAGGAGCTCCATTCCCATTCGTCCAGCGGCCTGGGGGCTGCTGGCCTTGGAGTCCCTGCCCCCCTGGACGCCTGCCCAGCCCCCCATGTCCTCCACAAGCTCCCACCCCTGGTGGCCCATTCCCTGGGGAGTGGGGGGTGCAGCGAGGAAGGTGCACAGCTTTGAAGCCCGACTCGTACTCGTCCTGTGTGGGACCCCGTCACTCAGAGGGGGCTGACACCGCCTGTGTCTGAGGCTGTTGTCAGATGAAGAGAGACGGCGGGCCCTGCCTCAAAGCCGCTTCCCTCCACCACGGAGGGTCACGCAATCGGGGACTCCATGCGCTCCCGTTCTGCTCCACACACACTGACGCACCCCAGCCGGCAGCGTGTCCTGAGGACACCAGGCCCGTTGCTGTCCAGGTCGCCCTCGTCCACGTGCTCAGAGCAGAACCGGTTGTCTGGAATCTTCCTTTCGGGCAGCAGCACTGAGCACGGCCCGTCTGCGTTGCCCTGAGCACCCACCGTACCTGACTCCAGGCTGCCATGTGACTGAGGTCCACAAACTCCTGGAAAAGTCCTTTGTGGAACTGGTCGGTCACCTCCCCAGCAAGAGAGAGCAGATGGCCGGAGGCTGCACAGCAGGTGAGGCCCGTTCCAGCGATGGACAGCTGCAAAGTCACCGAGAGAGCCCTCAGGCGGCTTGCAGTGACCACAGGACCCAGAGTGCCAGCACTAAGGGACACTGACACGGCGAGAAAACGGCAATAAACCTGGAACTCGCTAGTGCGTGACCAATTCCCCACAACAGCTATTCTTAGTTTTAGGGGAGGACTTTACAGTTGTCATTTTGTGAAAGGAATGACATGAGCGGCTACCTCCAGCCAGTTCCCCGGTTTTCGCCAGTAGCAGCGGACGCCCTCCTCGGCCATGCGGTAGAGCTGGACACACAGGTGGGTCAGCGTGAGCACCAGGAAGGCCAGCTGAAGGGGGGAAATAAACCAACAAGACAAGGGAAGTGCCGATGAGTTGTGCTGAGGTTGCAGCTCCTGGCCGGCTCCCAGGACTGGACGTGATTCCCGGCCCTGCAGCTCCGACAGATGCGCCCTGGGCAGCCTGTGGGCAGGCCGCAGCTCTTCACGCTCCAGCACCCCCAGAAACCCCACCGGTGTGGGCATCCAGACCAGACGGGCCTGCAGGGTGAGGGTGGCCCAGTGCCCAGGAGGCCTCTGCAGCGCCGTGCCAGGTCCTCCCTGCCCCTCCCCACCAGCTGAGCACGAGTTTCCAGGTTTGTGTGACAACACATTACCAGTTTCCTCAGCCAAGTAAAGCCTTTGAAAGCACCTGTATAAGGGATTTCTTAAAGTTTTGTTTATGGTTATCTCACTATTGATGAGTCCCTTGGTTTTCATTCATTCATTCATTCATTCATTCATTCACAACAAGGAGGGAGGTGACGCTCAGTAAGAGTGGAGCTGGCCGTCGGACAAGCCAGCAGAGCCCTGGGGACACTTCTGGTGAACAGTTTTAAGCTAAAGAAGCCTCTTTCCAAAGCCCCTCCATCCCTCTGAGGAGTGGCACTGGAACATGCTAACGTTTATTTCAAAGCACGGAGCGAGTGGGCGTGCAGAATGCCAGCGTGTACCAGGCTCTGCACCCCCAGGACCAGGACAAGACGGGTGGCGGCCACTTCACAGGTGGACTGAAATGAGGTGACGTGTGTGTGGGTGTCTTGTGACCCACAACCACGCTGTGAACACGACCCTAGGTTACCGCACCACCCGAGCTGCCTGGGTGCCAACCTCCCCGCTGTGCCCACAACCCGCCCACGGCAGCCTCGAGGCTCCGGACGAGCACTGCTCAAATCCCCACGAGGTCACGGACTCGGGAGGACCTGGAGCACAGAGCCTTACCCCCCACCTTCCCGTGAATCATGGGCACTGTGCCCACGGGCCCACCAGTGGGAGCTGAACATTTTGATATTTTGTCCATTGTGAGCATTTCTGCAGGAGTTTTGACTTTCAGAAATGCTGCACAAGAATGTTGCTTATCTTGATGACTGAGGTGAGTGCCCCGCCTGCCCCACCAGGCCCAGCAAGCGGCCCCTCCCGCAGCCTTCCCTGCCCGTCCCGACCCCACACCAGCTCTGAGGCTCCGTCCACAAGTCCACCTGGGGCCACGTCACTCAGTCTCCAGAGTCTAAAACCTCACGGCCTCGTCCTAGCCTCATGCTCAGGGCCAAGCTGCTCCACCCGGAGCGTCAGCCGGTCTTAGCTCTTCGGACCAGGAGCGTGGGTACCAGCTCAAGTCAGGGGCGCTCCCGAGGAAAGTCCAGCCTGGCTCCCGTGCTCCCCTCATCCCCAAATGCCACACGGACATCTAACATTTTGCTCAGACCCATGGTGCTGAAGGTCTGTGTCCCCCGGACCCATGTGTGGAAGCCATGACCCCCAGGTGGCTGTTCCAAAGATGGGGCCTCTGAGGAAGCCATCAAGGTCACATGAGCTCATAAGGGTGAGGGCCTGGTGACGGGGTTAGTGTCCTCATGAGCAGAGGAAGAACCTGGGGGTCACCTGTCCTCACATGAGACCGCAGCGAGAAGGTGGCCATCTGCAGCCAGGGAGAGGACCCTCACCTGACCAGGCCACTGCTCTGACCTTGGACTTCCAGCCTCCAGGCTGTAGGACATCGATGTCTGCAGTTCACCCTCCCCGCCCCCCGTGTACGGTGCCTCGTTAGGGCAGCCTGAGCGAAGACCCCCAGAAGGATCTGGGTTTCAGTCCCAATTCTCCCCCGGTAACCTTGACACACCAAGAGATGTGTGACCGTGACACACATCTGCATTTGCACCAGCCACGCAGATGTGCTGGTTCCCCACTGGGGTCTTCGTGCTGTGCCCACACCTAGCAGGCCGCCTGCCGCATGGTGGGGACAGGGCAGGCACTGAGGGAAGGGGGTGAGTGGCAGGCATGAGGCCTGCCTGGGGGAGGGTGCCAGCCGGTGGTCCTGTGCTCCATGAGCGGCCGAGTGGCCGGTGAGCTCACCTCGGGGAGGGTGAGGTGGTACCGCGGGGCTGAGTCGCTGTGGAAGACGACGACGGACTCCACCAGGGAGGAGAGGGCGAGGCCTCCGGCGGGGAGCATGTCGGCGCTCAGCGTCACGCGGGAGAAGAGGCGGGTTGGAGGGTTGTAGAGGGTGAAGTGCACGGACACGGCCCTGCTGCTGCCGTCCACCCACCGGCGGGCCCTGAGCCCGGTCAGGGCGGCGTGGGCTGCGGCTCTGCAAAGGGCGGCCAGTCAGAGGACGGAGGCCTTGCAGGAAGCGTCCAGCCCCAGGCCCCGCGCCCAACACCCGACAAGGCCCCTGGGCTCACAGGCCTGGACAGATGGCCTTTTGTGTCTTCTGACCCCCTAACAGTCCACTGTCCCTCTCTCATGCCCGGGACCCCCAGGCAGAGGGAAGAGAGATGCCCATCTCTCTCCGCGAGACTCTAGGACATCCACTTTTTCCTCTGCTGTGGAGTCCGTCATCATAAGAAGCCACCTGTGACCAACCCACATCAGGGAGGACGCATGGTTTCCCTTGCTTGTCCTCGGTGCTACTCAAAGGCACACGTCACCGTAACTGTGCAGAGCTCCCTGTGGGGCTCAGACAACCAGTCCCAGGGAGGCCCATGGGGATGGTGCCACCGACCAGACGTGGGGGCTGGATGTGCTGGCGCTGCCGTTCCTGGCGTGCGCCTTACAGGACAGTCACATGAGGACGCAGTGGGGCCCTGTGCACATCCTGCTCAGCACACGGCAAAGGCCCCCTAGGTTCCGTGGCCTCCAGACCTTCTAGAAAATTCTGAAGGAACGTTGGCTTGTCGTTCTTAGGCACTTAGAGACTGAGGCCTGATTTGCATTCTACTCGGGTCACAGTCTAACTGCGGGCTTGGCAAGCGGGTCCGTCATTTGAATGAGAGCCTTGCTCTCCCCCTGGGGGAGGGCGGGTCCCCTCGCATCCAGCCCGTCTGTCAAGCCTGGATGCTGCTGACCCCGAATCACACCAACCTCGTGCTGCCCAGGCTGAGCTCGCAGTCCTCCCTGCAGCCCCCGGGGCCACTCGGGGCCACTCTTCCCATCTCGGGGTCTGTCACAGAGGGGGTTTCGGGGCCTCTGACTTTGGAGCAGCATGTAGGATGAGGGTCGTCAACAAGCACTGAAAGTGGCCTGGGCTGGAGAGAAGGTCACATACACGTCTCAGAGTCCGCCCTGCAGCCCGGGGTGTCTGAGCCCGGCCATGCGTGGCGTGTGTACTGTCCTGACGCATGAGCCCCCACGTGGTCCCAGGCTGGAGCCTGAGCTACAATGAGGAGGCTGCCCCATGGACAGGCTGCACCCGCGGTGTCCCCAGCTGGGCTGGGACGTCAGGAGAGGTCCCGTCACGGACAAACAGGTGATGTGCACATCTTCACGCACCCCTCCCCCGGTTAGGACAAGATATGGATGTTCTATTTTTGGATATTTACTACAAAAACACTTGGTTTTGCACAGAATGCCAGGTCAGGAGGCACCCTGGGGAGAGCCTGCCGGAGGAGGGGAAGGGGGCAAAGGGCCCCGGCTCTCCCCACCCAGCAGCTGATGACCGAGTCACGGCCAGGCTCGGAGGTGAGGGAGCGGTCTGCTGGTGTCCTGCCCGAAGGGGCCTGGACTTCTCCCCTTCCGTGTGTGTTTAGAAGCAAACAGAAAGCGAGCACCTTACCTCGTGTGGACCACCGGGAGGACCCTTCTGCTGCTTAATGACCACAGTGCCCATCAGGTAGCACTTCCCTGCGAGAGCTCCGGGCTGGAGGAAAAGAGTGAAGATGCCGGACGCGCTGTAAGCCCAGAGCGTGGGCGCCCGCCGACCGACAGGCGAGCGGCTGGTTCCAGGCAGAACCGCACTTTCCTTTCAAGGGTTTGCCCAGCACTCGAAGAAAGTCAGCAGCCGCCTCCCCAGTGTTTGCACCAAAGCAGAATGATGTCTTTTTACCTTTTCCTAAAGTTTCCCCAGTGTCAACTACATAGAGTAGCACAAAAGCAGAATGAGAAATGCAGAGTTTGAGGAATATGGACAAAGTCGTTTTATCTTTTTTAAAAAGGTAGAAAATAAAAGATAAGCAAGGAATGGGGTTATTGTACAAGATGCATATTCCCTGGTAACTTTTTCTTCAGTTCTTGGGACAAGCCTCGCCTCTTTCTGGAAGCTTCCTTGATGTTCCCAACTTGGCTGTTTGCTCCTCCTGTGTCCCAGGGGTGGCCCTGTGCCCCATGTCACAGCATGCTCAATACTGAACCAGCCTTCCACCCGCACGGGCCCATGAGCTCTGTGGACTGGCCACAGCCTGGTCCTGCCCTGCCTGGCACATGCAGGCCCCGAAGGAGCTCGGGCAGCTCAGGGGGTGTGGGGCTGGGGCAAAGGCATGCCAGGCAGAGAAAGGGACACAGGACACTGTGGGGCCAATGCACCCAGTGTGGACACGGCCGGCCTCACAGCCTAGCGCCATACAAACCTACAGTGCCTCAGGTCACCCCACCACAAAGTGGCTTTTCTGTGACGACGCCAAGTCAAGAGCAGAGGGAAGCCCACCTGAGCGCCTGATGGGCCGGCTGAGGAGGGGCCGTGCTGGTACAGGCCGTCCAGCAGTGTGGTCAGGCTCCAGCCCCACCAGGCGTCCACGCCACCCAGGCCGCCGAAGGAGGTCCCGGCACTTCTTAACGCGAGAACAGAAACTGAAGGTTATTTTTCTCTGATATAAATTTCAGGGAGGCCGAGGGAGAAGCAGCAGGGAGGCACAGGAGGCCTGGGGTGGAGGCACAGAGGGGGGGCACAGAGTGGGGGGGCGTCGGTGAGCACGGGAGGCAGAGAGCGGAGTGCAGGCGAGGATGGAGGCGGGCGATGGCGGTTTCCACAGTCTCGATCATCTCCAACAGGCAAACTGTCCACTTCTAGAAGGGTGCGCTCCACAGTCTGCGTTTTTATAAAACGGAAAGAGGCCTGCAGAGCCATGTTGCGTCTGCACGTGGGGAGGTGCCATCACTGCCTGACGCCTGCTCCCTGTGGGGAGGGCCAGAAAGACCTGAGTGTGTGACCCAGAGACAAACGTGGCTCGGCCGGTCTGTGCACAGCTCATGTCTCATTCACGACCCACCGGGATGCGTGTGGCGAACAAACAACCCGAGAGCACGTCACGCTGCATGAATGAGAGCAGCTAAGTGAGCCGGGCTCACAGGACCGGCCACGCCGACGGCAGGACACCAGGGCCTTCTCCGCTGGTGGCACTGGGCACAGCGACCGCTCCATTGACCGGTGCTTTATTTGGTGCTTGATTTTTTTTACTTGGGATTTCATAATCACTTAATTGAGCTCAGAAAGACCTCGAATAAAACTTAAATATGTGAAGTCCAATAACGTGACGTTTTTTTGTGACGGCACAGAGCCGCCCAGCGCGATGTCCTCACGTCACAGACGAGGTGCTAAGGCGCAGTCACGGGACTTGCCCAAGTCACCCGGCAACGGCCTGGGAGCCGCGGGTTCAGCCTGAGCCCCGGGACCCCCAACTACTGAACCCCTCGATGCTACCTGGGGTGCCAGCAAGCGCTGCTCCCGGGGAGCTGCTGGCGGCTCAGGACTAGGTGTGTGTGTGGGGGGGGACTTAACATCCCATGACACGCAGGACGCAGAGCCATCCCCGCGTGGTGGCAGCGTGTCGGGGACAGTGAGGCTCTGCGCCCTCGTGGGACCCCGGGGCCCGCCCGAGCCTCTGCCCCAGCTCCGCGACCGCCCTGCACACGACACACGGCCACGCACCGCCGCGGCCGCCCCACGAGCGACGCGCGCAGCCACGCGCCACCCCACGAGCGACGCGTGGGGGCCGCCGCCCGCGCAACGGGACCTGAAGGCCCGTCTCCGTTCCAGCGTCGTGCGCGCAGCGCCACCTGGTGGCAGGACCGGCGCCTGCGGGGGAGGCGACAGGACGCGCGGGGTCGCTGGGTTACGGAGACGCCAGACTCATGAGCGGGGACCGCCAGGTCCCCCGTCACCAGCGGGTGTCCGGTTCACTCTCCATCACCCCGGCGGGGGTCAGGCACCCTTTCCCGTAGAAGACAAACACAAATGTGTCCTTCAACGACAGGTAATATGAAATAGACTTGCTAGCCACCTACCTACCTACCTGCACCAAAAGCCCATTCAACACGAAGAATTTACATCAAATTAAATCAGTCTATGGCAACATATTCACAGAAAAGCTGCGGGAATGTGTTTTCAAACATTCTCCAGCGAAAGCAGACCTTGGAGCGCAGGACTTCACTTCCTGCCACCGAAACTGCAGCAAAGAGTCAGTGTGAACGCATATCACGCACTTCAGACTCAAAGCCACCTGCTCTGAAAGAACTGTCAGACTGAATATTTCTGGCGGGTGAAAATAAAGCCTGACCATCGATTTAAAAGCAACTTTCGGAAAAAAGGACACTGCCCTGACCACAATCCGCATCCCAACACGACTCAACCGACGCCTCCTCTGGTGGTGGCGTTAGGAAGCTTCCTGCTTCCTGCTCCCCGGTTCTTCCACGGTCCCCAACCATGAACACGCACTGGCTTTCCCGGCAGAGGAAGCACGCGGACAGTGGGAGGGCCCGGGGCTGGGGCGGCTGTTACAGCCACTCCAGTGGGGCAGCGCCTGTGAGCCGTGACCCATGAGCCCGGCTGCTCTCCCGAAAAAGGAACCGCGACACTGTTTCATCGCAGCATCTCTGCTTCCAGACCTTAAAAGTGCCTTGAAATAGCACTGACTCGCTATTTACCAAAATGCAACGCCATTAACAGGCCCAAAGTCTGCGAACGGAAGCCTCCTATGAATAGTGGGGAAAACAGTGTCCCCGGGACGACGTGACAGCCTTCTCCATGTTTCCTACTGGGCGGGTGGACAAGGGCCGTCACCGGGAAGTGGATTAGATGGTCTGGAGGGCCGCTTCCTCTTGACTGGCTCCAAGTGACTGAGTGCAGTGACCCTGGCCTGGGGCCCTGGGCTCTGGGCCCCTCCACGGGCACCCGCCTGCATGAACACAGCACTCCGTGTAGTGGGCCAGGTTACCGGGGTCCCCCAAAACGTCCTACCTTGTAAACGTGTCCCGAATGGCTTGATTGAGGGAGCACTCGTGCTGGGAGAATTTCCCACACGTTACGAACAAATGCAGAAGCAGCATGAGGGTGCACAGGGCAATGTCTCTACGAGAAAGAAAATTTTAAATTAGCCTCCCCACAACGCCGCGTGACAGACCCAGCAAACATTCTACTGGCACCCGGCTTTCGAATCCCCGGGGGGAAATTTTCATGTAAAGGGAGGGATGTGTTGAGGTTCATTATTTTTTGCACGCTGACACCTAATCTTTTCCAGAACCAGCTCTGAAAAGAACTGTTCTTCCTCCAATGAATTGACTTTGGACTGTTTTCAAGAATCAGGCGGGCATATTTGTGTGGGTGTATTTCTGGGCTCTCTGTCCTGTTCCTGTCTGTCCTGTCACCACGTGCACGGTGTCTCGGTCACTGGCTTCATGGTCAGTATTCCGACTCTGCGCTCCTTTCTCAGAATGCTTTGGTTAGTCTAGCTCCTTTGCTGTCCGTATAAACTTTAGAATCCATGTATACCTATAAAAAGCTTGTGGGTTTGGTTGGGATTGCACCGAATCTATAGGTGGAATTGGAAAGAGTGGACACTGATAACAGAGTGTCCTGAACAATGAACAGTCTCTCTCCGTTTCTTTAGACCTGTGATCCTTCATTAGTGCCTTGTGGCTTTCAGCGTCCACGTTCTGCATGGTTTCTCACACTTACACCAGCTTCATTGTTTTGGTGTTGCTGTCAATGGCGTTGCTTTTTGCTCTTTCAGTTCCAACTGTTCACTGCGGGTGCACCGAACACGCCGCTGCGCTTCTAAGTGCTTCTGTTAGTTCTAGCACCTCCTTCGTAGACCATTCGGGATTTTCTGCATCAAGGATTCATGCCATTGCAACAGGCTGCTTCATTTCATCCTTTCAAATCTGTAAGCTTTTCACTTCTTCTTCTCGCCTGTTGCATTGGCTAGGACTTCTGGTGTGAAGTGTAGAAGGCGCAGTGACCGCACGTCCTGGCTGTTTCTGACCCGAACAAGCACTGTCTGCTCGCCACCTGTGATGCCCTTTATGAGTTTGGGGAAGTTCCCTCTACTCCTTGTTTGCGGAGAGATTTTTCTCCCATGAGTAAATGTCGAATTTTGTTGAATGCATTTTTCTACACCTCTAGGAGTCTCATGATTTTTCTTACTTTGTCTGCTAATATGGAGAATTAACTCTTTCTTTTCATGTGTCCATAGAAGCACCACCGTCTCCACCTGGTCTCTCTGCTGTGAAAGCTGGCTCGCCGTGCTGTGGCCTGTCACCGTCTGCTCCCCATGGGGATGTGCCAGACACTCTCCCTGGGACTGCAAGCTGGCCCAGAAGCTTGATCCGATTAAGACGGAGCTGATGTGGGTAGGTTACCTCCTAGGTGACATGTGTGCCATCAGGAGACACAGAGTCCGGTTCTTACCCTTTCTGTTCATGTTGGCCGTGTTAATGGCCAACGCTTACACTCAGGAAGTGGTCAGGTTCTACTTGGTTAATTTGCGCGTCCTCTGTGAGGAGAAGTGTCTGCTCTCCACCGCCATGTCCAGGGGCGGAGTTTGTGTAGGAAACGTGTGATGGCTGCTTCATCACCAGTTTTTTAGCAGCCGCTGCCCAGCATCTGCGAGCCCCGATCAGCTACACTCCTGGTGTCCTACCAGCTCCTCGCTGGGAAGAGATGCGAAGTCCCAAATCCTTGACAAATGACATCAGCAAGATTTGAGAGCAACCCAGCAATGCCCGGAATTTAGGGAGAAGATTCGGCTGGTTAGTGCACGAGGCCCTCATAGCTGTGCAGCCCTAGAGCCCACGGCGAGGTGGGGTGTCTGAGGGCCAAGCTGTGAAGGGCTGCCATGAGCATGGCGTTCCTTAACTTTTGTGTTTTATGTAAAAAACCACGCTGATTTGGCGCTGAGCACCATAACACATCTGTGTGTAAATTGCTCAACACTGAACAATTTTTAAATACTGTCATTAGGCTAAATGCATGTCCCAGGCAGAGGTGCCCACCTCCCACTTCCCACCCCCACATGAGCCCAGGCACCAGGAGGGACTCTGGCTGGCAGAGGGGCCAAGGCCGGGGTAAACTTAACCGGGTTCTCCCCACCCAGCTGACGTCAGTTCAGTTTCCGGGCACCCCATGTCCTGGGCGTGTGGTGCTGGCTTTGGGGCACCCCACGTGCACTCCCCACGCTAGACGCTGGCTCTGAAAGCGCTGCACCCACCTCAGCACCGCCTGCGTGCGCACCTCTCTTCTCATCCTCTCCCGGGTGACCCTGAGCTGGGCAGGGGGCGGTGGGCGCGCCCAGCGCAGGCGGCGGGCTTGCTGTCGTGCTGCCAGGGCCTGTGAGAGCGAGAGTGTGGGTGAAGGTGGGGTGCAGCTGACCGTGGACGGAATGGACAGGACCCTTTGGGTGAAGAGAGAGAGGAGTCGCGATCCCAGAGGGTGAGGGAACAGGACAAGCCGCTCCTCAGTTCCCGGCTGCGCCCGAGGTTGGAGCCCAGACCTGACGCTGCTCCTCACGTGGTCGTGGTCCCACTACGTCTCCACTCCAAGCGTCATCTCACCCCTCTTCAAAGCGGGTCAGTATGCTCCCACTCCCTAAGGCCCAGTGGCACAGGAGGTGTCAATATGGTGTGAATGAGACACTGGACAACGGCCCGGCGGTGTGGACACTCGCCACGCATTTATCATGTCATCAGATCAGGGGACTAAGGCCTTGGACAGGCCATCCCAATGGCCATTTAGCCACGAGGAGGGCACAGGCGTCCTCTGAGAGGGTGGGAGGGGTAGAGAGGAGACCTGGCTGTGAGTGAGCTGACTGGACATGTCCGGGTCCTGGCTGCCTGCCGGTCACCCCAGGAACGCACACGCCTGCTGCAGGCCACGTGCACTAACTCGGCAGCAGCCTGAGTGTTTCTTCCCGGCGGCCGACTGGCCTTTCTGTTCCTTCATGTCCCTCGTGCCAGCCAGGAGAACACTGTCCACAGGACAGGAATCCAAAGCCGTGGCCAAGAATTATCTTTCCTTTGCTTCAGTATTTAAAATACACTCGTTTTCTTGGTGCTCTGATTCCTCCGGGATTGGGGGAAGGTAAGGAAGTGGATCCCAGGTTTCATGCATCAGGTGTGTGTATGCAAAGCACCATAGGAATTAAAGCACCTCCGCGGGTCTCCAAAAATGCAGCCAAATTTGGATTTAAAGCGTGAGCTCGGACATGCACGATGGGGCTACACCGCGGTCCCTCGGGCCCGGTGACCACCACGGGCCACGCCCTCACTTTCTCGGGTCCGCCTGCTCCGCCGGGCGCACCAGTCCTGCAGCGTCGTTCCAGCTCAGCGTCCAGGTCCTTGGTGGCTTCATGCAAACTCACGGTGAAGAAGTGCTTGTCGCCTTTCCTTTTCCAAGCGAAGCCCAGAGCCGCGAGGCCTATCTGGGAGAGTTCACAAGGACACTGCCGTCACCACAGCACATCTGAGCCCCATGGCGCCGACCCTGCTTCCTGCTCAGGGCAGGACGCGGAGGCCCAGCTCAGATGCACACCAGTGCCACCTGCTCCGGTCCCGCCCAGCCACCCCCAGGCGAGGCCTTGTGCCCTCTGCGCTCTAAGGCTCAGCGTCCTCTAATAAAAACTGGGGGTGCAGGGGGGACTGCGTGAGGACTGACTGGCCCACGCAGAGCTCAGTGCAGCCCCGGTTCCCCGTTTTTCTCATCACATCTTGGGCAAGTTGTGAAAAGCGATACACATTCCCAAATGCAGTCGCCGCTCCCCCCAGGCCTCGCTGGTGGGAAGCGACTCCAGCATGGACGGCTGCTCACCATAAGTGGCTGGGTGACGAAGACACAGCAGGCCACAGAGAGGACCAGCAGACACAGCCACTGCGCACACTGCGTCAGGCCAAACCTGCCCCAGGGAGACACGCCATCAGCCCCGGCTGCCTGGGCTCAGAGACACGGGGCTGGAGTGTCCAACCCTTGCAACGCGTGACCCTGGGCGGCAGTGGGGCTGCAGGGAAGGCACCTGTCGTCCTGCCCCACGGAAGGGACAGCTTGCTGCCCAGAAGGGAGGTCAGCCACCCACACAGGCGTGAGAGCGCAGAGGCGGGAGGGAAAGAGGGAGAGAGGCTGTGGTGACAGCAGGGACCGCTGTGTCTGCTGAGCCCTGAGCTGACAGGGTGGCACTGGGGACTGCACCTGCTCCCCAAACCCTACGAATGTGGCACCATCAGCCAGAGCTACTTGTCACGGTTAGGACGACGTGGACCCACGAGCCACGCTGCGTGACCCTGGGGTTGTCCGTGGTGGGCCTGAGCCACCCAGGGACCAGCCCGAGAGGCAGAGTGCGAGGTGGGACAGATCAGGACCTGTGACCTGTGCCAACCATCCCTGTCTCACAGGTGTGTGTTCTCAGATGACAGGGGAGAGTTAGGGACACACTGCGCCCTCTCGGCTCAGCGGCTGTTCCTTCTGCTGTGGGGAAGGGCCCTGCAGCTTCTTAGAACACCCAGGACTCCATGGCCAGCGGCCCTCCCACAGCTGCCGGGCCCTGGGATCCTGTGGGGTTTGCACAGGGCGCTGCTCACCCCTGGGGCAGTAGGGGGAAAAGGGGAGCTGAAATAGCGAGAGCCACGTCCGGGTTCCCAGAAACATAGGGGTTTCCTTACAAATGCTAGACTTGCCACCAAAGACCCGAGGACACGTGAACACCTCTATGGCTCACCTGTATCCTAGAAATCCTGTCCCCAAGCCACAGGCCACGGAGACCATCCCACAAACGGCCCACGCTGCAGAGCCCACCCATGGCGGGGGCGCCTTCGGACACCAGGACGAGGTGAGTCCTTCAAACCCTCCACTGGGGGCTGAGGGAAGCAGGCAGAGACGCGCGTGTCAACAGGTCTCATCATTCTGTCTATACCAGTGTGGCCGTTAACGTTACGTGTCACCTGGCTGGGTCACAGGCTGCCGACATCTAGCCACACGTTATGTCGGGTGTGTCTGTGAGTGTGTCTCTGGATGAGATGAACATGTGACTCAGTGGACCGAGTAAAGCAGACGGCCCTCCCCAAAGTGGGAGGCCTCGTCCAATCAGGTGAAGGCCTGGCCAGGACAAAAAGGTCGACCTCCCAGAGGAAGAGAGAATGCCTCCTGCCTGAGGACCCTCCAGGGGGACATGGGCTTCTTCCTGTCTTTGGACGTGAACTGGAACCTGGGTCGTCTCCTAGGGCCACCGGCACAGGCCTTGCCAGCCACTGTCCACAGAGCCATGTTCACACCAGTGCCACAACCTGCGCTCGAGGTCTGGGTGACCCGGAGCTGTGAGGACACCCCGCGTGTGTCCACACCGCCCCCGGGCCTGTGGCCACACGTCCCCCCGGCCACATCTGAGACGTGCCCCTCGGACACACTGGACCGGCCCCTGGGACTCAGCCCTGCTGTTCCTGCCAGGCCGTCCCCACAGGCCCATCCCCAAGCTTCCAGCACAGTCTGAGCTGCAGATGACACTCACTCTCATTTGCATCAACACATGCGAAGCCCATTTCAGGATTCTTACAGAAAAGCTAAGCATCTATCACTGACTTTTTAGAAGATGTGACCAAGCCCTGTAAGCATATGCCAGAAATCACCGGGCCTTGGGGACAACTGATGTGTCAGCTCAGATGGGCCTGGTTTCCTTGGGACCAGAAGCTTCGGTCACAGGTGGCCCAGCTCCCGCCCCTTGCACCCCGACCTTCCCAACGGGCTGATGCCAAACGTGGCAGGAAGGAGCCGGGTGCTGCGCACCCACCACTGAAGTCACCTGGCATCCTGAGGGCACAGTGGTCACTCTTCTCCCTCGAAGCCTGCTGGCCAAGGCCAGCCCCGCAGGCCTCCAACTGCAGGGGCGGGCGGTCTGCACCGTCGCCCCTGGCCTGGGCACTCTCCGAGCAGACGGCCAACGGGCTTTGCTAGAAAAGACAAGGTCAGGATGAGGTTCTTGCTTCTCATGGTCACGAGTCCTCTGTCGTAACGCGTCTGCGAGGCTCTCGGGACGAGGCAGCCCCAGCCGCCCTCGTCAGGCCTCAGGCTGGGGATGGGCTCTGGGGAACGCGTAGGGCAGGCCTGGGCCAGCCCCTGTCCCCCGCAGAGAGCGGTTGGGTGCCTGGGGTGATGACGGACACCGACTACTAATGGGCCTTCACGGCCGAGAATGACCATGCACCTGTCCTCCGGGGGCCAGTGGGGTCTGCCAGAGCAGGCGGTTCCCGCCGGAGCAGCGGGCTGGGTGAGGCTCAGGTGGACGGGCAGCGAGCCCGCCTGGTGTGGGGTCAGGACCGGTCCTGGCAGGACAGCGGAGGGGACAGCCGGCCTGGGACACAGGCCTGGAGATAGAGCACCACGCTTGGGAACGGGGAGTTAGCGGCCAGGAGCATGGGCAACACGTGTGCCCAACAATCCTCCATGAGCTAGAGCCACATGTAAGCTAAACGCACCGTCGCACAGACACAACGCGCGAAACGCCAGGGTGTCGTGCGCTTGAGCTACTGAGAACCCGCCCTTTCACTTGTCCCATGTCACAGGCCGTGTCTGCTCGCCTGAGGCCTGGAATAGAGGCGCCAGCACAGGGACAGCCCCTCCTGTCCCTCACAGGGGGCCCTGGCTGCAGGCGTCTCCCCCGACCTGGCCCCCGGGCCCAGCTTCTAGAACGTCACCGCCCATCCACTCGGGCTTTCCAGGCTCGGCCACCTGCACCCCTTCCCAGCTGGCCTCTGCGGAGACTCCTGGACGGCCAGCCGCCCCTGTGGCCTGTGTCTGTCCTGGGAGACAGCCTTCTCTCTCAGCAGGACGCACCTCTGCTCGCTGGCCAAGCGGGCATGGTGGGTTCCTCATGCCCACCCCACCCTGGGCCTGACCTCGGGGGCCAGATCATGAGAGGACGCCAGGAAACCTAATTGTTAGAATTAGCTGCAGTGTTTAACTGTTTACCTTGTATGCTGTCTGTGCTTCTGGCATTCTTCTATGGAAATTAGGGTCTAAATGAAGAAAAAGTCAAATTTATAACATTAATCCAGGAAGTGAGGGTTCCTGGGGGGAGCATTCCCTTCAGGACCCAGGTCCCCTGTGGCTGCACAGGACAGGCTTCCTGAGACACAGGACGTGGCTGCCACGAGGGTGCTGCCTCCCTGGTGGGGCCGGACGCCCCTTACAACGTCCTGTACACATATGACATGAAGTTCAGCTTCCCTCGTGATGAGCTCTGTGGACGTGGAGAGCAGGAGATGGACGGTCCACCCCGTGGGCAGCCCAGGAAGGGCTAGGGTGGCGGGCGTGCGCCTGGCCGCCCCGGTCAGGTTCCACCATTTCCCTGTGGTTGTGATTTTCAAACGCAAAGCGCCGCTTAGGGTTGCACACGCCCACTCACCCACAGCTGCCTCTGTGCGCGCTCCTCTCGGGGGCTGGCGGGGCTCCACTCGGGGTGGCCCACTGGCTCCCTGCAAAGTGAGGAGGCCGTTCAGGCTGGGCGTCCCCAGCGCTCCGCCCAGGACAGGGCCACACGGACGCCCACTGGTACCTCGCTGAGCCTGAAGAGGAGCAGCAGGAGCTGCGCCCCGGGAGAGACCAGGAAGGTGCACAGGAACCCCGTCCTCAGGGACCCAAGAGGGATGCCGGTGGGACCGACGCCCACGGGGAGCTGCAGCGACAAGAGCAACAGTCACATCGCCTGCAATGAACCCGGCTTGCAGTGCGTGGTCGTTGGTCATCACACATGTGGCTGATGTGATACGTTCTACTCCCCAGAGTTCTTGCTCCCTGACCTGTGACCTTTCACCCTAGGAGTGAAAAGAGAAAACCTGCAAGAAATCCTGTTGCTTTTCTCTTGTAAAGATCCTTCAGGACTGAAAACACGTTTGTTGAGCGCCTGCTTTACACCAGGCACGCCATGTGCTCAGGTGATTGAATCCTTGCTACAATCTGACAAGACGCCATCAGTACCCCCAAAGTGTCCCCAACAGAGGAGCAAAAGAGACCAGACAACCGGTCGACCTCAGAGGAGAGGCCAGCCGGAGGTGTCCTGAACAGGGACCTGCCGTCCCAGGAGCACACAGCGCTTCCCTTCCTGCTGCTGGATGACACTTCTCTATCCTCTCCTTACAGGTCATACACACTTGCTATTCTTTTCAGAAAAGAATCTGCTGACCCGTCGCCGATGGCGTGAACTTTGTGGTCACACTGCTGGGCCCACCTGGGAGGCGCCCGTGGGGCCACGAGGTTGCCACGAGCAGCAGGTCTGGCCTCTTGCCCTCACCCCGCAGGAGAGGCAGCGTCTGCGTTCTAACTACACGCTGACTTGGGGTTAATCTCTGTCTCATGGGTACAGTTACACCAAAGCTGCTGATTGCAATCTGGCATCCCATGGCCAAGTGCGGCCATCACAACTGTTCTGTTTCTTTGGTGAGAGGATTTTAAAACATTGAGCTAATTGCCAACCTTTAAAAAGTCAGGCACATTCTCCTTTGAGACTCCAGGCTGCTGGACCCCTGGAGAGCCACGCTCGGTGGTGGCAGTCAGCTGAGGCCAACCCACGGACCCGTGTCCCACCAGCCTGGAGCACACGGGGTCCCTTCCCCACTGTCACCTCCCTCCGAGCACCAGCTTGCTAACCCCTGCGTCAGGAAGGGCTCATACAGCAGGGCTGGGATGCGAGAGGCACTGTGAGGAAAAGGGCCCACCTGCTCGTGTCCGGCAGCAGTGACCAGGGCAGCGACACACGCGTGGGCACACAGCAGGGTGAAGGTGACACTCAGGCGTGGCGTGTGCAGGGGGCCCCTGCCAGAGGGCCGGCTGTGCGTGGAGGCCCACACGTGGAAGTCCTCCAGGGACTCTGTGAACTTTGAATACAGGAGCTGCAACAAACAGACCCTCACTGCCGTCGGGTCAGCACACCACGGCGTGGAGCCCGGGCTGGCCCTCGGTGGCTTTCTGAGCGGACACACCACTCACATGCTCCTCCGGCCCCAGCTGCCCAGCGGGACGCTGAGCTGGGCTGGGCCGTCCAGGCCCCTCGCAGCCGGCCAGCCGCGTCCCCTCGCCTCACCCTGCCCTCAGCCCCCTGCACACCCCAATCCCATCTTCACTGGGGCTCCTGGGAACACCTGTCCCCCCCTCGCCTGTGTCACCCTCGCGTGACTTCACGCCATTCTCTCTAGATCCTCTGTCTACAAACCCTGGTGGAACCGACCACGTGTCTCCTTTGTGATCCTCTCAGACTTAAAAACAAAACCACGTTCTCAGCCCTTTCTGCGAGCAGCTAACTTTCTGGGGCCTTCGAATGCTCTGAGAGCTGGGAGTGGACCTGCCCCCCTGAGTGTCCACAGTGGGTGACACACCCCTTACGGACAGAACTGCACTGCCCCTTACGAGCTCAAAAGGTCCCGTCCAACTCAGCGGACACTTGGCGTTGTCCTGCTGAGAACAGACCCAAATACCAGCAGGACAGGCTTAACGGGACGAGATACTCTGCACAAACGGACTGGCTGGGGTCTGCCATCCACGCGTGGGACGGCCACTGTGCGTCTGCACGGCTGGGTCGGGATGTGCGGGTTTCTCTCCAAAGTTCTCCAGCCAGACGGGCGGCGAGTCCACGTCGTGACGTGTTTAGTTGGTTATACTTACACAGAGACAGTCGTCTAAGGGTTTCCCTGTGCTGTGGCTGACTGAAAATTCTATCTCAAATTCATTATTTTTTGGACTAAATTAGCAATATAACGCCTGAAAATGCCGAGGTGGTGAGCCTGGCCCTGTCACCCCGGCAGTGGCGGCAGGAGGACAGCAGAAGGAAAGGTCCTGTGAAACGGGAAATGTCAGCACTCAGGGGCTCCCACCCGCGTGCGCCCAGCCTAAGACGCTGTTCGCCAGACACACGGTCACGCAGGAAAGTGTTTTCTACATTTTCTACGATGGGAATGAACGAAAGAAAATTCTAAGTGTGCAGCAGGTGGAAACGTCAGCAAAACATAGCGCCACAATATGGCCTTTTGATGATAATTTTAAAGAAAATTCACAAATAAATTTACTCTAAAATGTGAAATTAGAAAGTGAAAACTCCACAAGCATAAGACACACTCACAGACAGGGAAAGGCCGGAGCAGGCAAAGGTCAAGTTTCGGACTCGGTTTGTGATATTCTAGGCGATTTCGCCTTTTTTCATGGTGGCCGCCATCCTGTCTATGAGCGGCCACTGGCACAGCCCTGACCACAGGCAACCGAGCATCTGCCAATGTTATTACAGTTACAGTTGAAAGAAGGGCACGTTACTATAATGATGAATAGCTGGAAATGGACTTAGTCCATGCTTGGGTGGCCACTGAACTGACATGTCTTTGGAGACCCAGCTACCTGGAATTAACCAAGGAAAGAATGCACAGCTTAACTTGACAGAGTTTAAAGAAACCACCGCCGAGAGAAGCAGAGCTAGACACTGCGTCCCGCCAGTCGTTCAGGGGTCCCACACGGGGAACACGGTGCCACCTACCGTCCAGAAGCCGGGGCCCTGGCGCAGGCAGACCAGCTCCCGCTCCACACGGCCGTCCCGCCTGCCCGCGGCCAGCCAGCACTCGGCGGGGAAGAACCAGCTGTGTCCGCGTCTGGTGAGCAGCTCTTTCACCATCACGTGGCTGACGTACCAGGCGGGAGAAGGGCCACGGTTGTCGTGCCACAGGCGGACCTTCCGGAGCGGGCCCAGCGGAGCAGGGACGCTAGGACACACAGTAGCGACCCGTCAGCAAGGGCACGGCACTCGGTTCTCAGCCTCAGGGGCGGGTGGCACACGTCAACAGGCGAGCGTTGTGCAGAGTGACACCCGGAGCCCCCGGAGCACGGGAGGGTGACAGTGGATTCCCACCAGCCCCTCGTGTCACAGGGTACAGACACCCCTGGCCACACAGAGCTCTACCCAAACCCAGCTCACTCAAACCCCCCTGATGCATCTGGTGTCACGTGTGGATTAGTCCGAAGTTAACCCTTTCTGTCTTAACGAACACATAATTCCCCAAACCGATAAATATTATAAAGGAAATTGGCCCAGAGGAAAACACATCTTGTTCATTTCTTTCATATTTTCTGAAACATTAGGTGCTTGTACTCCTAATAAAGGAACCCCATTCCTTCAACACCACCATCTTTGCATTCCTACATTTCCTTGCTCTTCCGAATTTGGGATGAAACTAATTAATTTAAGCAGGTTTAATAACATAGAAAACACTGTGACTTCAAAAGAATGCAACTAGACTGCTAGTTGACACTAAACACAAAAGTTAACTCAAGTTTAGCGGTTACCAGAGGGGAAGGGGAGAGGGGGTGGTAGGTGAGGGTAAAGGGGGTCAAATATATGGTGATGGAAGGAGAACCGACTCTGGGTGGTGAGCACACAATGTGATATACAGATGATGAATTACAGAATTGTACATTTGAAACCTATGTAATCTTATTAACCAATGTCACCCCCAAAAAAATTAATTAAAAAAGAATGAAAAAAGACCCACAAATATGAAAAACCATCACTTGGCACTATCTTTTTTATGCTGCTTTTCAAATGAGAAAACTGATTTATATGAACACAGGCTAAAAAGTGTCTATAAAAACCACTCAATGTGTATCATTCTAGACATTCTAGACACTGCTAATGTTGAAATTTACCAATAAAGAAATAAGATTGTAAGCTATTTGGGGGCAATAAAAAGAAAACGCGGTGATTATGGGTCTTACTAACATGTGAACCCAACCTGACCCCCATCCGTCTCTCCCTTCTCCGTCTCCCACATAAACACGCCATTTAATCCCATTCGGATAACGAACTGTAGGAACACTTTGTGAAATCGTCCGTGTGTAGATCGCTGCCCCTCTAGCAAGCTGGGACCTGCGAGGAGGCCGTGGCCCTGACGGGCCTCTGTCCTGCACGGGGGTCAGGTTTCGGAATACCTCAGGACAAACGTGTGTCTAGAGTTCCTTTCGAACAGGGGCTTCTCGGGATGGTAGAGTTCTTTGGGTTCTGAATGTCCATTTTCACCACATAAAACAATGTACACCTTAAAACAAAGACACAGGGGTAAGAGCTCAGTCACTAGCTCACACTGGGGCGGGGCCTCCGCGCTGCTTCGCCCAGCCCCTCACTCCCACTCCATCCTGAAAGGCCGGAGCCTCGAGGGGCGCGGACCCCAGGGGTGAAGGGGGGTAGCGCCTGCCAGGTCAGCTGGGTTTCTACCTATTTGATCTATTAGGTTGTCGGAAAAGTCATGATGTATTTTGTCTATGTTTTTCAAAGGTCATTTATTTATATAAAGAATAAAGATCAATCAATATATTGCTCATTTTGTTCAATAATCTTTTGCCATCTTTCAGTGAGCTTCATAATTCCTCGTTCACAGAAAGGCCTGTCTTTATTTGCGAAAAACTGAACGAGGTGCTGATTTACAGCCTCATCTGAACTGAACGTTACACCACGCAAGGAGTTTTGAAGAGAGTGAAACAAGTGGAAGTCTGACGGCGCAAGGTGAGGCGAGTATGGTGGGTGTGGCAACACTTCCCATCCAAGCTCCAGTAAATTTTGACAGGTGATCAAACTTGTGTGTGGTCTCGCGTTGTTGTGATGGAACACAACTCCTTAACAATTCACCAGCTCTGGACGTTTCTGGATGATGGATTCGTTCAAACTGTCCAATTGCCGACAGTACACATTCGAATTGATTGTTTGGTTCCTTGGTAGGAGCTTGAAAAACACAACACCTTTAAAATCCCACCACACTGAGAGCATCACCTTCCTCTGATGAATGTCTGCTTTCGATGTCATTTGAGGTGAATCATCACATCGGGACCAAGACCGTTTGCTCACCACATTGTTGTAAACAATCCACTTCTCATCACGAGTTATCAGTCGCTTCAAAAAAGGATCATTTTTCTCACGTTTAATGAGCCTATTGCAGATGTTTATACATGCCGTCAAATGAACTTTGAGTTCATGAGGAACCCAAATATCGAGCTTGCTTGCGTATCCCAGCTTCTTCAGGTGGTCGTGAACACTTGAATGATGGATGTTCAATGTTTCTGCAATCTTTCGTGTCATGTAACATGGGTTTGACTCAATCAATGCCTTTATTTTGTTGTCATCAATCTCAGTGGGCCTCCCTGACCGAGGACCATCGTTGAGATGAAAATCACCAGCAGGGAATTTCGTGAACCATCGTTGGCACTGACGTTCTTGTAGAGCATTGTCACCGTAAACTTTATGCAACTTTTCACAAGCTTGACACACGTTCTTCCCTTTATGGAAGTAAAACAGTAAAAGATGGCAAAAATGCACTTGGTCTTCCATCTTCAACTTGTTGTAAAATCTCCAAAACTCAACCAATTAGCTCAATTTTTTTTAGAATGAAGCTAGAACTGACAGTTGTCAAATGACATAGTAATAACATAGATGCGAATGACTCTAGTACTTCCAAAAATGAACTAGTGCCATCTGTTGCAAACACGCATCATGACTTTTCTGACAACCCAATAGAAAAGCCAGGTGCCACCTCGGATTCACTAGGGAACGTGTTTGAGTCATGAGTGGGTGCCATCCATCTCCCTCAGCTCAGAGGGGAGATGAGGGGGCCTGATGGACATTGGGGGGCTGGGGCGGGGTGGGCGGGGGGCACCACAGATGCACGTTCCCAGCTGGGCTGGGCTGGACACTCCTTACTGGGTGGATGTACACAGAAATGTTAAATTCTGATGTAGTACAATTTACCAATCTTTCGTTTAAGAAAAGCCCTGATTTATTTCTGTTTTTTAAATCCTACCCTATCCCAAAGTATATGTTTCCTCTGAGTAATTTCTAAATTTTGTTTTTCAGCTTTAAAACCCTACTCTTTTGGAGCTCATTTTTGGGCACAATGTGAAGTAAAGAGTTAATATTCCTGTTTCCCACAAGGAAAGTCACTGTCCCCAAATACTTTGTGGAGTGGCCCGTGCTACCCTCTGGGTCTCCCTCTCCACATGCCCGGGCTGGTTCCGCAGCCTCAAATCTGTCCTGTGCGTCCATCGGTCCGTCTCCTGGCCATGGGACAACATCTGAGCGACTCCGGCTTCAACTCAGCCTGGGTGCCCCTGAGTCCCCCTTTCTGTTCTTCTCTTTAGTTGGGGTGACTTTTGTAATTCTCTCTCATACTTTTGTTCTCTTCCACATGAGTTTTAGAATTACTTTTTCAAATTCCCCCAAATCCTTCCTGAAATTTTGGTTGGATTTCATTGACTTTAACCGCTGTATGCCTTGTTTTTCCATCTGTACACTGGGCATATTAACAGAATTTTTTCTCAGAAAGTTTTTTTAGGTTTGAAGGGAATAAAAAAAGGAACACAGAAAAGTCCCAATTCACTGTATCTGCTATTATTGTCATCAGTGTTACAGATTCACTAGGGAGCGATGACAAGGACACCAGTGTTGCCATCCGTGGATAAACACGGCTCTCTGTTTGGGTCTATTGTCCACACTGTGCACGTTCTCTCCATGACGGTCTCGACGTGTCCGGTGAATTTCCTCACGGGCACGCCGGCATGCTGACCACAGGGAACAGCTGGTCTCAGGGACGGGTTCTAAGTGGTTATTGTCATACCGAGGTGTCTTTGATAGATTTTTTTTGTTGTTAATTGTGTATCCAGCAATTTTGCTAAACTTTCTTATTAATTCTAACAATTTGACTGAAGATTCCCTTACATTTTCTATGCAGACAATTGTATCACCTGCAAATAGCCACTTTTCTGTCTCTCCTTCAAATCTTATGTTCTTGCTTTGGTTCTTGTCTTTTCCTCCCTGGAGTTTCCAGGTAATGACAAACACTGGCAATGACACCAGGCGTCCCTTGGACACTGTCTGAGGTGTCACAGTAAATGTGATGTTTGCTGGAGGGGATCCTTGGGCAGGGTTGGGACCCCATCCTATATGCTGCAGGTGTGTGTACTGACAAACTGACTGACAGACCTGGCAGACCGAGGGCGTGCAGTGAGTACGATCACATGAGCTCTAGGACAGACCCACAGACCTGCCGGATCCGACTCCTCTGCGCCCCTCACTCCCCGCACCCAGCCCGGCCTGTCCTCTCACTGTGGGCTCTGCACAGCAGCCCTGGCTCCCTCGAGAAATAGGGGGTGAGCTCCAAACGCAGAGGGAACGAATCACCCTCCCGTGGATCCGTGTGAATGCACACCTCCGTCACACAGCTGGCTGAGATGGACTCTGGGTTCCACCTGCAGCCTCACCTCTGCAGCCCACCCGCATGTGGCCCGTCTCCCTCACCCCTGCCACGTCATCTCACACCCCGTCTGTCGCCTCCACACCATCACCCATCAGCAACTCTGGGAAAACTCACTGCCAGCCACATCCCTGCCTGTCCCCAAAGTTGGGGTGGGCAGTTCTCACCCCTTGTCCCGAGGTCACCCTGTGGGTGGTGGGTGATGGGTTCACACTAACTACAAGAGCACAACCCGGTTCTCAGAGTCTCAGTGTCCCACTCGGAGACGAATCGCTCTGGGTGGCTGTCCACAGGGAAGGTGGGGGGACGACAGGGGCTTCAGGGGACAGGGAGGGGCGGGCAGCCCACCCTGGAGGAAGATGGGCCAATGGCGTCGGGTGACGGGACAGATGGCTGAATCCCCAGCCGTGCCTGCACACCCGCCCACACCTGTCCACGCTCCACGTGTGTCCCCTAGGACACCCAGTCACCTTGGCGGTGAAGCGGGCCGGAGCCCGGAAGCCAGTGTCCACGACGATCGCGTACAGCTGGTGGCCGGGTGGGGTGTTTTCTTCCAGAAAAATGTAACCAGTTTTCTTTTTTTCACGATGATCTACGCGTCTGCTTTTAGTGACCAAAGGTGCATAAAGAATCGTAAAAACCATAATAATAATACTGGGAAGCAGGTTTTCTGGCTGTCTGTAAACAAAAGAGAGGAATAAAGAGTGTTACTCATGAAAATAAACATTTAGTCAAAGGCTGCCCGACTCCCCCCACACTGGGTGACACACACGTGCAGATGCACACACAGACACACGCACGGCCCTGCTGGTCTTCGCTGATTTGCTTTTAAACTCACTGAAGAGGAAAGTTGATTTTATTGGGCCAAGTGGCTGATAAGGGACGGGTGGAGGAGTGGGGTGGCCTCTGCCGTGTCTGGGCCTGAGCCCCTCGGAGGAAGGCGGCGAGGCGGAACCGAGAGGCTGCCGTGCAGTGACAAGCACCCACGAGCACCCCCACCCCCACCCCCGGATCCGAAACAGCTGAGCCTACTGTCCCGAGACCTGACCCCTGGACGCCTGGCGACCTTCTCAGCCCCCAGCATCTGTAGTGTCAGCCCATCACTTCTTATCACAAAGTGTCAGGTCAGCTTCCTAGTCTACGTGGCAGTCAGCTCTTTGATGGCCGATTAAAGATTAAAGTAAGGTCGAGTTCCCAGTCACCGCGGGGTGTGGGAGAAAACCTTAACACCAGCACCCACCGGGAAACGCAGGCTCTGCCATCGGCATTCACTGGGCAGTGCTGACCCAGCGCCCGGCGTGGAGCGAGGGGCATGGCGGATGAGGCGGGGGTCCTGCCATACGCGCTCGCCCACACCCACACCCATCTCGGAGCCTACGGGTATTTCTACACAAAACAGTGGCTACAAAATACGGTGAGTTTTAAATTTATCTCCTACAGTGGGACACTGTGACAGCAGGACAAGGCAGGACAGCAGAGGAGGCAGCGCTGTCACTGTCTACGCTGACCCGGCCGGTCCCAGGGGACCCATCCTGAGCGGAAGCTGCAGTTCGGAATGTGCTAGTCTCCGTGCGCTCCTGTCTGAGTGACGTGTGGATAGACAGCTGGACACAAGGACCACGTGATGCTCGGCAACGACACGCATGCCCCACAGGAGAGTGAGAACCATGGATTCAGGCTCTGCTCGTTGCCCGTGGCGTCCTGCGTGGCCCAGGTGTAAGAGAAGGGAAATTCTACCTGGGTTTAGAAAATGGAACTTACCGCTGTAACTTGGAAACGTCACATGTTTCAAAGCTGGTGTTCAGGTTTGTTCTCACGACAGAGAACGTAGAGAGACGGTCATAGCTGTGAGGGAGACGCATCAGGTGTACGTGCGTCCGTGTGACAGCAGGCCAGGATGACGTGGTGTGGGGGGGGAAAACAGGCCCAGCAGTCTGAGCTTTACGACTCAGACCCAGGTTAAAGCCCTCAGCTAAAACCTGAGTTAGAGTCAGAGACTCTGTTCTGACGACCAGACCCTTCCCAGCTGTCTGCACACAGCCCCGAGGCCACGGTGACACAGCTGTCCTCGCCGTGGACGTGGACGTGGGGGCTATCGCAGCCACCTCAGTGACTACAGCCCTTGCACAGTCCAGCCAGAACCCGGAGTGTGTCCGGCCGAGGACTGATGACTGACTGTGCGTCTGCGCTGCACCAGTCCTGGCGTCACAGACACCCTGTCCCTGGGGACGCCTGCTTGACAACCGCGATGAAGACTGACTTTAAAGCAGGGATTGATCTGTCCTCGTTACCTTGTGAGCGGGGCCATGCTGAATCCGTTCCCGCAGCCCTAGCCCAGCAGAGAGTGGTGTGTAATGGAGAATGAATGACTGCGTGAATGAGTTACGAATAATTTAACAGGAGTGAGATGACAGGCCCTACCCACAAGTCCGATGTGTCCCAGCAATAGAAAAGGGCGACCTAAGAAGTGGTAAGTGGTGACGAATCGCCCCGATCGACACTTGGTGTGGCCTGGACGTACTGACCTCCTGGCCGGCAGCCACGAGACACACACGGTCTTTCACGACTTAACTTTTCTTAAGAAGGAAACGACTATTTCTAAATGTGCCTAACAGCTGTTTATTCCCTATTCTAATGAAAAGGCAACTATGGCCTCTAACAGAATTCTCAGCTTTGCAGCCAGATAATGAAGAATTTCTAACCGATGACGTGACTGATACACCTGAAAATTCCTGAGAGGGTAGGCACATGGGTGTAGGGACTCCTTGTGTCAGAAAGTTCACTTTCACAACCATGGGGGACGGAGTGGGGTGCATGGGGTCACAGGCCGGGAGAAGGGAGAGCAGAGGCCCGTGGACGACTGCACACGTGTCCCCTGAAGACTATCACCAGGACGTGTTCACAAAGAGACCTGACATGCCCTGGCACTGTCGTCCACCCATCCACTCATTTCTCCAGGAGAGATGGCTGAGCACTGGTCCACGGCCCTCTCGTGGGAGGGCTGGGTGCTGACGGGACAGGCACACAGGACCCCGCTCCTCCGGAGGCCGTGACCCAGGGGGCACCGGGCTCACAGCCGGGGGGCGAGAGGCCAGGCTGCACACAGACCCCCTCCATTTTCACAGGGGACAGGCACACGGGGAAAGGCAGCCGCTCACTAAATTCTCCACTTCTCCCCCAAGAGCGTGTCCTTACCTACAGCTCACTTTTTCTGGAGACGTTCCTGGCTGTGGAGGGAAACTTGCAGATTTCCACTCTCCCATGTCCCAGAACAGGCAGCGCACCCACTGGAAGCGCACACTGTAGCTCACGGCCTTGGCTAGATATTTGTTCCGGGGCGTCCTGTCGTAGTCGGCATCGAGTAAGGACAAATACCCCAACGTGCTGTCTAAGAGGGAAAAGAGTTAGGATGACAACCTGGAGGCTGCACGAAGGCGTGACCCATTCCAAACACAGGGGACAGGGCAGCTGAAAGCGGGGACCGAGCAGCAGGCAGTGGGGACAGGCACCCACACTGATCTCAGGGCACAGACTGGCCGCAGGAACAGAACTGAGGGGCGCGTGACCTGCCCGCTGACCTTGCAGTGACGCAGGTATGGAAATGTGGATGACGTGCTCGTCCCAGGAGAAAGTTTGTTTCACAAGGAAGTGAGAAGGAGCAGGCTTCTCAGAGAACCTAGGGGATGAGAACGGAGCGATGGCGGCTCGCCGTGTTTTTTTTCCTCTCAAAGACTTCAGTTGTACAACGTACGGCAACACCCTGTTCACGGCCAGGAGGCAGGCTGGGGGTACACGATGCTTACACCACAGCCCCCCGGGTCTTTCACTAAGGACCACGTGACACTTCCGTTCCTCATTTCATTACAGACAAAAAGTCCTGTACAAAACAAGAGCTGTGGCTGGCCGGCTGGCAGGAGGGGGACAGCGCGGGCTCCCCGTGGCCCGGACATGTGTCTGCGTGATCAACCGCCTGCGGTGACAGTGAGCAGTTGGGAATGACAGACAGACAGCCAGCACAGGGGCTGAGAAGCTGCACAGCTGACATTTCACGTGTGTGACTTATAGGATTAAGTCAAAACCCAAACTCTTTAAGCTGGTAGACAGGCCTCAGACACTCGATAACTCGGCTCAGGTGGTGATGGGAGGGGAGCCCACGAGAGCCGAGCCTGTGCTGATTCTGTGGACACCGCCCCGTGGGGGACACACCCAGTCCCCTGTCCCTGAAACAGGAACAGCTGAAATCTCGGTCCCACGTGAGAGTCACGGGGACTCAGAGGAGGGAGTGACGGACGTGCTCTCCCGCAGTCCTCCGCCGGCCGTGCGGACCTGGCAGGAGCGTAAGGCCCAACGCCTGTGTCCATGCACTAACTGTCCCCATGTGACGTCATCGCCCAGCGGGGCCACCCCTGTCTCAAACTCAGCATACTGCAAAGGGTGATTCATTTATCAAGTCCCCTCGGATATATCACTTTGAACATATTTTTTCCTTATGAAAAAAAATAAATAAATAGACATTAAACGCACACTGGCCCCGGTCTGTGCTGTATGAGGGAATTAGATTCCTAAGGTGCCACCTGCGTGGTTGCCGCCTGCCCCACTATGTCTCACGCCAGTAACCGTGGTGGCAGGGGTCCCATCAGAAAACAGATGGGGATGTTTCTTCCCCGGCAGGCATTTCATTTGATTTTTTTTACACAATGAGCCTCACAATTGCTTCAAAAGTGCAAGTTCGTTGCTAATTTTTTCATGACACACTCATGCGGGCGCCGTCTCTTGCTCCAACCCCGTTCCCACCTCAGCCGTCGTCCCACCACACACCTCACCAGCACCATGACCGGGAAAGCTCTCGAAACAGGCCTGGAAAAGTCTATCCTGATCTGCAGAGAGTCCTGGGGGCTCTCAGGACGCCC